GAATGAATTGCGCTTGAATGACTGGCATAAATTATACGATTTGCTAGAAACATTAGTTTTTTGGTCCCTTTGGCTCACTTATGTTTCACCGTTTATACTTTGCTATGAGAAGGTTTTAAGAGTTTGAAAAAATGCAAGATCAGACCAATTTCAGAGACGAGGGAGAGGGAAACGAGGTGTCATCTCCACAAGTGATTGATCTCCCACCCATTTCCACCTATTTACCTGAGGAGCACAATATCGAAAGGCCAGAGTTGCGTTCACTACTGCACAATTCGCAAGCGATGGGAAGTCTGGAAAAGCTCATCAGGTCAGTCCATCAGTTCCCGTTCTCACGTGGATTTGCACTAATGAACGGCCGTGAGTCCTGTGCGGATGTGGACTCAAGTCCTGTGCCGATATGGTAGGTGCACCAGCGGATGCACAGCTCCGATTGCGTGCGTCTCCTCCATTTTATTTCCATTTGTCAGGCTCAGCGGCTAGCATTCTCTAGGGGCAGGCTTTAGGCTGCGGTTCTATCTACACTTAATTCCAATAGCTAACTTCATTTAAACTTCCCTCTCTCGCATTCCAGCTGGAGCACGTGTGCCATTGCCACCTTTACGCACTTCTCGTAAATAGTTTTCGTGGCTCGGTTTTATTCGTTTTTGGGTAACACTCCCTCTGAGATCGTACTATTTGGCAAACACCTCTCCTTCAACATCTGCGAACCTTTACCTTTATGCGTTATTATTGTTTCCTAGTAGCTAAAATCATGAATCTAAACTTGGCATAACAAAAAACCCATCGCATTTTTTATCGCGCAATCGTGACCACAGGTAAACCACAAAGCGGAGTTTTCTCGTCATGCTGTAGCCGTACTAGTCTTGAAGCAATATAAAATGCACGAAACTAAGCAATTCGCCTCGACGACATGTTGTTTCACTTGTCATGTCCTAATCAGACTCAATCCTCGTGGGGAAAAGTCTCTTTGCGGCATATCTGTGGGAGATTTTTTTTCTTGCGAGGCTCTCTTAGTGTGTGTTCACCTCAGCTTCATGTTATTGTTGTCAAACTGCATGTGTCTACGAGATGATCCCATGACACTCGCTTTGTGTTCCCCAGTACTCATCTCTCATCATAGCCGCACACAATATTTGGTTCGAAAGCGCCTTTTACGCATGCTTGCATTTTGAAGTTAGTGGCTTGAAATTTACTGGATTTTCGTAGTATCTCATGTGCAAATCTTCATCGACTCATCCTCTGCAGTATAAAAATCCAGTGGGAAATTGAAGAGCTGTTACTTTTTAGAGCAGAATCCCTTATGCATGAACGCTCCCTGGACATCTTTCCTTCAAATTCTGCGCATGTCTTCAGCAAAACTTCAGCGACGTCTTGCCTATCGCATATGACAGCCCGTCTTGGCACGGCTACAGAAGGCTGGTAGCAGCTCCAGCAAAGCCAGCAGATTCGATCGGAGCCGGGGCT